GAATTGTTACCCTAGGGGATTGAAGGTGCTGGCTCAAAAGTACCAAGATCTGAGTTCTTAAACCCTCTTCTGCGGTAGTGGAAACCTAGAATTGGAGTCTTAAGGGTCAAGCCTAGGAGGCAGGGAGGCTTTCCTGCTGGGTTTTGAGCAAGGGAGTGGCAGGAAAAAAAAAAAAAAAACAACGGTTTTTTCCCCTTTAGGCTGTCTTTCCCCATTCTATGTGTAATCAGAGGTCAGCACCTCGGTCTGACCACTTCTTTCCCATCCCCCCTACCTCCACATTTGCCTCTTTCAGGCTAGGACTGACACCCACTGCACTGAGCTGTGCCTTCTGCCACGCCTGTTTTTCACGGATTAGCTTCAGTGCACCCTCAGGCAGCACCTGACACCCCTCCACAGTCCCCCTTCAAGTGACCCTTTGTCCGGCCAAAGCTTGTGAGCTTGATTGCCCTCCCTGCTCAATTGTTAGAAGTTGAAAGTGAGGTTGGATGAGAAAATGAGGGCGTCCGAAGGGACTGGGGTGCAATTAATAGTTGCAAACGAAGAGGGCTTCCTGTGCCCTCACCTGAAGCTATCCCTGTGACCCAGGTGAAAAAGTGTGACTGGAAACGTTTGTGAGTGCGAGCGCCGGCGCTCTGGGCTCCAGTCTGAAATTCCGGCGTGGGGAAGCAATGCCCTGCACTCGGCTGCTAGTCCGGCGGGTCTTGGAACCCAGAAACCCGGCTTTCTGCTGGGGTCGGGAGGTGGGGAGATAATACTGGGAAAAGGAAGCTGTCAGAGGAAGGAGTGTTAAAGAAGAGGAGAAAGCCGAGAGGGAGCAGGAGAGGGGATGCATAAAGGAGTGTGCTGGGAATGAACGGAGGAAGGCGGGGTTAGATCAGGATAGGAAAAGTGGGAGAAAGGGAGCGGCGAGAAAGACAGAGCGAGCAGTGCCGCGGGGTGCGGTCTGGTGGAGTAAGAGCGCGGAGACCGGGAAGCGCGTCCGGCGCGGGCCGTGAGCACGGAGTAGCCCGGGGGTCCGAGCGGCCCCAGCTGTCAGCCGGGAACAAAGGCCGCGCGCAGGGAGGACTTGGCTGCCGGCAGCGCCCGGCCAATCAGCGGCGCCGGCGCTGGCCCCGCCCCGCCGCGCCCCGCCCCGCCCGCGGCTCGGGACCCCGCGCAGAGGCTGGCGAGCAGAGAGCGGGCTGCTGCGGTGGCTGCGGACCGGCTGGGAGGCCGAAAGTTTCTCTGCTCGCCTTGTCCAGCGATCGGGAGCCGCGAGCTGCTGCCCGCGCCGCAGGGACCTACCCGGCACCCCAGCTCTGGAGGAAGGGAGACTGGAGCACACCGCAAAAGACGCCGGGAAAAAAAAGAAAAAGAAGAACATCCTAAACCAGCCCCTAGGCTCAGGGCGCAGGTAAGGTGCGGTGGACCAAGGATCGTGCCGGCTCCCGTGGAGTGTCTGCGGCCGCGGCAGGCTCCCAGCTGCAGGGGAAACTGAGCTCCCCGCGCGGCGTGCCAGTCCGTGCGTGCGTCCTGGCGTCCGTCGGTCTTTGTCTGTCTGTGTCAGTGTCTGTCTAGGTGTCTTTGTCTCCGCATGTAGCTGTCAGGGTCTTCCCCCTCTGCCACCATGGGTGCTGCTGATCTGGCGCTAGTCCCAAGGAAATGATGGTGCGTCCGTCAGTCCTTCTGTCTTTGTCTGGTCTCTGGCAGACAGGGATTACCTACTCCCAGCCCCGAATCTGATCTTGGAGAAATAAGTGTTAGGTGACACTAGTGTCAGAGGTGAGGCGAGGAAGTGAGGACACAGGGGCTGAGGCCCCAAAGAGGGTCCGACAGTTAAGGACCAGTCGCTGAACTTCGCCGCCTGGAACTTCGGAGATGGGCCGTGGTCGCACGGGTGGGGAGAGGACACGGATGCAATTAGACGCTTGGAATGTTTCCCTGAAGGAATAAATCACGGGAGGTGAAGTGGGTAGAAAGAAAGGTGGGTGAACCTGGTGTCTAAGCGGCCTTCTGGAACTACAGATCACCAGGGTCAGTCCTGGACGTGCAATGCAGGCAGTATCTGACACACAGTCACACACCATGTGCAATCTTTTCCCCCACCGCAGGCAGTCAGGCCCCCACTCCTTCCCCAGCCCACCCTACTATAGGCTTAACTCCTCTTGTCAGCAGCCTGCTGAGCCCACAACCAGGCAGCAACAGGCACGGAAACATCAAGGGCCAGGTGACGTTTCTTTTCTGTTCCAAGTGGAAAGGATTGAATTGCGGAGCATATGAGTGTTCTGCTCACCCGCCCACGGGTGTCATGCCTGGGAAAGTGCTGCAGACTGTTGGCTTCCGAATCTCAGCTTCCTAAAACAAGGGATGCTGATGGATCCCCAGCACCTAAGCAGTCTACTGTCAGCCCCCCTGCTCTGGTCATTGAGTGCTGGCAAGCTGGTGAGCAGGCACTGAGTTCTGGACAAAGCTTTGCTGCTCCAGAGAAGGGTCCCCCACTCTGCTGGAAGTGCAGCCTACTAGTGATCCTGGGAGCCCTGGAGCCCAGCCACGAGGAGATCAGCTGCCTACACCAAGACCCTGGAGAGGAGGCTGCGGTTAGGGGCAAGAGAGGATTTGTAACTGGAGCTTCCTCCAAGTTCAAAAATAATTTTCTACAGGCACTCAGGAAAATGGAAGTGTTTGAAGGGTGTGTGCATATGGGTATGTACAGCTAGCCTTTACAGACAAGAAGGGTGGTTGTGTTCAAGGCTGGAGAAGAGTCTGTGGGCAGGAGCTGTGGGCAGAGCATACACACTAATCAGGTGTGGCTCTACATCTTGCATTTATCCAGTGCCTTTCTTCTGAGGGGCTTTCTGTGCATCATAGATATTATCTCATTTGTTATCTCCTTTATCCTCACAATGTAACTACCAGGTTGGCATGAGACATGGTTTACTCTCTGTGTCTGCCAGTGGAGAAACCGAGGCACCAGAAGGGAGGGGTGCCCCCTGAGGCCCCACAGCTACTGGGAACAAAGTCTAGGCTAATGGGAGTCCAAAAAGGAGGCCCCAGCTGGGTAAATTTAAGTGTGAGACACTCACCTTGATGGAAATCAGGAGAAAACAGTGGAAAGAGGAAGGAAAGGTGTCTTTCCAGAATGAGAGTGTGTCTGTAAGCAAGCGAGAGGGAGGGTGGGACATTCACTATTGCTCAAGATGGTTATTATTTAATAGTTATTGCTGCCACTGTGCACTTTAACAATTTAACCTGCTTTGCCAATTCAGCTCATGCACTTGGATGTCTGTAAGAAGCCCCATCCGTCTGCATGGGTTTCAGTAAATGGTGGCAAGGGCTAGCATTAGAAAGGCATCTGAGTGGGTGTGCTGGGGAGCGCCAATGCCGTCTACCTCTTCACCCATGCATGCAGACCTCTGGCTTCTCAACACCAAATGGCAAATCTTGTCCTCACACTCTCCCAAAGCATGGGCACTCCAGCAAGGCTGCAGAGTTGAATACAGTAATGATGAAGAGCCTGCAGTCAAGCAGCTTATGGACTGGTGAGATGGACAATATTGTAATGAGATTTAATGTCATTCACTAAATACTCTGTGTACCCAGTACTTTTTAGTCATTATCTCCTTTAAGTCTCACTGCAGCCCTGCCAGACATGTGTGATTATCAGAGGAGATTGAAATAACTTAGCTAGGTTAGAGGCTACAGGAACAGGGATTTGAATTCAGGTCCATAAGACTCCAGACCCTGGCTCCTTCCACATTCTCCTGCTGCCATTAAGCAGAGAAACACATGTTCCTTCTGTGCAGAATATTCTCACCCCTTCTCCCCCTAGCTAGTCTGGTCAAGGGCCTTCCTCTGAGTTCTTGCCTCCATCCCGTGGTGTCAGGGTATTGATTCACTGACTCCCCAAGAACTGCAAAGTTCCCAGAAGCAGAGGTCTTCTCTCTTGAATTCCCAGTTCAGAATACACCGCTGGGTTATGATGAGGAGTTCCCTTGGCAGGGAGCACTGTGACATCCAGTGGTGGGTTTCTGCACAGGCACACTTTGCTGGTGTGACTTCTCACTTCCCTTCCTCTGTTATAGGGCCTCTGCCTGGGTCAGCTGCTCCCAGGCACTGCCTCCAACACTTCTGGAGCCTAAGAGAACCCCAGTCCTCACCCACTCCATCTCCAGGTCCAGAAATGTAGAAGTACAGAAGGGGGGAGATGCTAAATGGGATTTAGAGCCAGGGCTTTGTACACTTCAATCCTCTGGGGCAGATGGTTCCAGGGCAATAATGAAGGGGTTCTGGGATTTTGCCAGCAAAGAGCTATCCAGCCTGGGGAATCTTTAGGTAGCTTACATCTTAGCTCTCACATTTTAGATTGCTTTTGAATTGATCTTTGTGCTCCTGCAGTTAGGACACTCTTGACACTGGACTGGGAAGTATGACTTGTTACCATGTTTGGGTAGATAATCTGGCCATGGTTTCTCCAAGGCCACACCATTAGGTGGCTCTCTTCCTGTGCCCTTTGCATCACCTCGGTATTTCTCAAATCAAGTTGGCAATGTGTGTTATCCGGGGTTCATGATGAGTCTAAATTTTCTTTCAAAGATCACTATTCAAGTTTGGAAAACTCTGCATTTCACTATTTAGTCAAGGTCTTATCTATGTGAGATGCCAGGGAGACGATGGGTGATTTTTATTTTTAAAGGCTAAAAAAATAATTGGAAAGAGAAACCAGCTCACATGAATCAGTAACAAGTAAATTGGAAATGGGTTTGTACCAACTTTGAATGCAGCAGCTGTCCCGCTGGAAGGAGGTGAACTAGAGATATGAGGGAGGTCATGGTCATGAACTGAACCTTGAAATTGAATCTAGGAAGGTATCGAGCAGTTGGAGCAGTCCCCAAAGTCAGCCTTCCAAGACGCTAGCTGAGAACTGAGGAGCCAGGGCTTTCTCTTCCCAGGGGAACCCTAGCAGGAGCCTGTCTCCCCCTCCAAAACAACATGGTGAATGAAAAGCGGAGGTAACTCACCTGTCACCTCTGCCTCCAATCAGTGTGCAGATGGACCACTTCCAGTATACAGAGCTCCTCCTCCAAGGGTTTAGGGAAGTCATTCAAACCCTCTGGCTGACATCAAGCAGAGCTGGACTCAGTTGCCAGGCTGCAGGGTGAAGCAGCCTTTTCTCGCTACGGTTTCTATTCTGTGCCTCCCACATCACACTGTGTCTGAACCTTGCCCTCAGCCATCCCTAAGCTTCCGGTAATAATGATTTTAATCCTGTTTTTACTTGCACAGGACTTCAGACTTTAAAAGGGAACACATTGTTATTATTAGTATTTCCCATCAACCCTGGAAGATTTCCTTTATCATTTGGCAGACAAAGAAATTGAGCGAACCTTTTAGAGGTGTAGGAGGTCTTTTAAGATTTTTCCAAAGAGTTTTGAGATTTGAACCCATTATTCCGCCTCCCAGTCATGCTATAACTGGACCCTACGGATTATGCAGGGCGGGTGCTGGGGATCAAATCCAGGGCCAACACATGTTAAGCATGTGCTCTATCACCGGGCTCTACCCCCAGTCTAATTAGATTTAGGTTCACTGAAAAGTATTAATATGCCTAAGAAAAAAATCAAATTGATAAAAACTCAGTTACTTTCATAATTATTATAATTTAGCATGTACATCTTCAAAATTTTTTCTCACTTTTTCTATTCCTCTCTTCTCCCTAAGCACTTTGTATGTGTGTGTGTAATAAAAGCTCAAAAAAAACCCCAAAAAACAATAAACTAGGACAATAGAATGTCTCCTTGGGGTTTGCTTTAAAGAATGAAATTTAGCATATTTTATTTTATTTGGGGGGATACTAGAGATGGAATCCAGGGTGCTTTACCACTGAGCCACATCCCCAGCCCTTTTTATTTCGAGACAGGGTCTCACCAAGTTACTGAGGCTGGCTTTGAACTTGCAATCTTCCTGCCTCAGGTGTATGCCACCATTCCCAGTTTTGTTTTTTCTTCATAGCTAATCAATTTGTAAGGTTTTTTGGGTCCACTTTACATTGAAATGAGAGCACATTTTATTGCCCCAGAATCTGAATTAGTGATATTTCATTGGTATGCTTTATTCCATAGTCAATTTCTTGACCATAGCAACTAAGTTCCACACTAAAACAGGGTAGCAGTCTCTTCGCTGGGAACTTAAGCACTTTGTGGAAACCAGATCTCTAGGGGAGTGATTGGGACACAGGCTGCCCCCAGTGGAGGAAAGGACTGAGTGAGTGTCGTGGGAAGGAGGGTGCAGGGGCTGGCCCAGGGAAAGTGGAAGAAAGAGTCAGTACAAGCAGGGTCTGTGTGTGTCAGCTAACAACCAGAGCTGGTTGTACTAATCCATCCAGAGAGAGGGGTCATTTTTCTTACTAAGTGATGGGCAAATTAGTGTCTGAACAGATGTGATGTAGGTTGTGTCCAGTGGGACAAAGGCGGCAAAGAGCAGCCCTCTGATCACGAATAGATCTGCCTTTATGTCAATTTATCCCTGTGGGAGAAGAGAACTTCCTCCAGGAAGTCTGCCTGAGCACGTGCGGCACCTCACAATTCATTCATCCACAGCTACCGCCCCTCCCCCTGAGCTGTGCCCTCCTCTGGTACCCATTCACACACTCACAAGTGCGTGGTAGAACACCCATCCTCAGAGAGAGAGACCCTAAGTTCTTAGGACCAGGAAGGGCCCCACATCTGTCTAGCTGGACTGGCCTCCCTATAGCATGATGGGAGGTGTGCTCAGGCAGCCCCCTCCCCCATATCACAGAACCTCCATCTCATCCATGCCCAGGCAGTCTAGGATGGCCACGAGCCCTTCAGAGCTGCAGATCCTCCCAAGCCAGGCAGCATCTAGAGAGGGGGAACCAGTCTAGGTGAGACTCACAGCTCGAGGGGCATATATTAAAGGAGCCCCTCAAGAGATGTCCAAAGTGGAGCTGAGATTGGGGGTTGTGGTGAGCTTTGATCTCAAACCTTGCCCTGTCCTGTGCATGCTTTTCACTATGGAGACTCGCCGGTGGCTGTGGCAATCCCTGCCTGTTGCACTCGGGGCCGAGGCCTGCACTTGGCTCGATGGTCTGCTGGCTTTGGGGGCACCTTCGCTCCCCTTGCCTTTGCAAAGCCATTTGCTGCTAACTCACCCTCCTCCTGGCACCCTGGACTGCTAAATTGGTCTCAACTTGCTGTACTTCCACCCACCACCTTAGTCATTATTCGCTGGCAGCATTCAGAGAGTGGGTGTAAAGCCGCCGAACATTATATTCCTGCTGTAAAGAGAGAGAATTGAGTATAGACATGCAAGGAGAGGGGAGAGGGAAGGAGGGAAGAGAGAGTAGGGGGGCAGGGAAACAAAGCTTAGGGTTTGCAGGCACCTTTCCCTGGTGACCCCGGTGACACTCGATGGTGGGGCTGTGATAGGGAAGTGGGAGGTGATGCAGGGGCCCACTCACGTCTGAGGGCTGCACAAGGCCCGTCTGGAAGGAGGAAAAGAGAGCCAGGGGGAGAGAAGGCTCCCGCCCTCCACGAGTGCTGTGTTCCTTGTTCCTTGAATTCTACAGTATGTACTTGTCAATCCTACTGAGCACTTGTTCCCAAGTGTAGGAATTTAGCTTTTCATATCTCTCGTCCCTCCTGGCTGAGATGATAAGCCCCTTGAAAGAGAAAGTGTGTCCTGCCTCCAGTGTGCAGCAGCAGGCCCTCGATACCGTCCTGGCTCAACACCACATGGCTGAGACCGATGGTGGTACGGCCTGTGAAGGCTCTTCTTACTCAGCCATTTTGGATTTTCTATGCCCAAGGGACATAGAACGTGGAAACTCAGGCAGGCAGGAGAAGAAAGAATAATGAAGGGACTTGCAAGGATTGGTCTACCATCTCAGTGAGGAAGCTCCAGCCAGGGTAAGGGTTCCGCAGGAAACAGGTTAGCAGAGCAGGAACTTAGAGAGCTCTGTCCTGGTGTAAATTGCTCCCAGTGATCTCCAACTAATGCACGGCACCTCACGATGGCGCTTCTGATGCCCATGCATTGCACTGGGGCTGACGGGAAGTGGAAAAAAGCAGGGACGGCATTAGGCAGCAGGGACAGCATCAGACAGGGCAGAGTGACCTCGACAGGAAGTTCTCTAAATCACTGATAAGGGTTGATTGGTCACTGGGAAAGGAAGGGGAACACATCCCCAACCCAACAAGGCTTGGGAATTAGGATACACTCAATCCAGGATCCTTTTACCCTCTCCTAGAGGGAAATGATGGGGAAACCCTGAGAACAGAAGCCCCCACACCACTAGGAAGGCAGAGGGACACACCATGCTGAGACTGCCGAGGGGCAGGGACCATGAGCCCCCAGGCTGCTGTTGACCTGCAAATCCCCAAGAGGCAGCCTCATCCCTAGTTTCTGCAGGATGCCTGAGCTGGGTCTGTCCTGCCCCTGAGCCTGACGGGAGGTCATGAGCAGCACATTTCAGAGGACAAGTTGAGCACTCCAGACAGCTCTCCTGATTTACTGCAACCTTCAGACATTGCAGCTCTGCTCCCCCTGCTCCTGGCTGGAAGGACATCTCAGAAGTACAAGGAGAGGAGGAAGGGAGGATTGGGCTGTGTTCACATCTCCAGGAGACAACCCCCCACCACACCCGGGCCCTGCTGATCAAATTCCCCCAGCCCCAAGGACTCCGTGGCGCCAGTGGGGAAACCGCACTGCAGGCAGGTGGGGGAAACAAGAGGAGCCCAGAGGAGCCACCCCCAGCTCCACCTGCAGGGTAAAGTGAGCTGGCCACAGAAGGAGGCCCAGGAAGGAGTCCCCAGCTGCCTTGGGCTCCTCCCCCAGTCCGGCTGCAGCTGCCCTGCTCAAAAGCTGGGCTGTGCAGCCAGCGGGTGGCTGGTGGGGCAGGTGCGGGCAGGCGAGAAGTGTGGCTTTTCCTGAAACTCAATTTTCTAATCTTGCAGTGTAGCAGCGCAGGGCTTCAGCTTCCCTGGGCTCTCTAACAGTGGCTCCAGATAGCTGTTAACTTAGGAAACTTCTATATAAGTGCTACAGTCCAGGGATCTAAGATTCATCAGGAAACTAGAGTCTGCATTGAAGAAATGTCGAGTACTCTGCATATGAACACACACTTCAGGGTTGGGAGAATCCTTCAGTGTCCTTCTATCCCCATCACCCTCTCCACGTCCCTCCCCACCCACACACACACAAAAATATGTTTTCCCAGGTTGTTGCCTTTTCTCTGAGAAGTCTCGCTGTGAACCCTAGGAGCCCAGTTCTATTTTTGTTCCACTCTTATAGAATGCTAGGTTCATGTCAGACTATGGGCTGAATCCTGGGAGGTGCAACCACAGATCTGCTGCCATCATTGCTCTGGTATTGGGGATGAGACAAATACATTGTTTAAAAAATCATCATGGGTCAGGTATGGTGGCACACACCTGTCATCCCAGCAGCTTGGAAAGCTGAGGCAGGAGGATCGTGAGTTCAAAGCCAGCCAGCCTCAGAAATTTAGAGAGGCCCTAAGCAACTTAGTGAGACCCTGTCCCCAAAGGGCTAGAGATGGTGTGGTTTTTGCAGGGATGAGAGGGGGATGGTAAGGTGGAGGACAGCCAGTGGTAGGAGACTAGAAGGCCGGTTGGATTGGGTGGAGCAGGGCCTCGTGCTCTCTGCTGAGGAGCACAAATGCTATTTGGGAGGCAGAGGAGTGGCAGAGAGCAAGAGGCAGACCTTGGTTGGAGGAAGTGAATCTAGCCAAGGAGTATAGAATAGATTCTGAAGGTAGAGAGGCTTCTTTCTAGAAATAGCCTTGCTTATTAGAATGCCTGTTTCTCCTTCCCTTCCCTCCTAGTTGATGGCACCTGCTCTCAGAGATACTCTGTCACCCGGAAATATTTCAGGTAGCTGAGGCTTCAAGAGGGGGAGAGTTCATAGTCCAAAGTCAAGGTTCTGGGTCCAGGACGTATTTACATAACAGGGTACATGGGCAATGCTTCCCTGCTTCGGATCTGTAAGAAATGGTAGAGGTCTGCCTCCCATACCCCGTTTTTTGTTGTTGTTGTTTTAACAGAGAAGTGCAGAGCCACTTGCTCAGGGTCCCACAGCTGGTTAGTGACAGAGCCAGGGCTAGCATTTCCCCTTGCAGACTCACTAACCCACTGCTATTGTGTGCTGAGACTGGAGAACCGGTGGAGTTCATCGCACCCTCAGTCTGTGAGTGGAAGGCAGGTTTG